GGGTAGTCCAAATTAGTAAATGGGAGGTTTCTTGTACTCAGCTGATAGATAAAATTGAGTTCTAAAGAAATAGCTATGAGGTTGGTCAACTGGAACAATGGAATTGGCTGAAAATAGGGCTCAAAGTCGGCGAAATCGCCGATACGCATATGTCGCCGAGACCGCTAACTTCGCGGGAGCATAATTCCATGAGTTTTGGACCAAATTTCGAACTTTTGGTGTCATTACCATCGGGAAAAGATTCTCTATTATTTCATAAGAAAAAATAATTTTTTTTTTTTCAAAAAATTGAGCAACATAGAATGACAGTTTCAGAGAGGGGCCTGAAACAGTCAAAGGGTTAAATGTGAACAGTAACATGGAATGCTATGAATACCATGGGCTTTGCACAAAAAATTGTATCACATATGCTGTTTTGAAAATTAATAATAATAATCGTCGTTGTCATTATCATCATCTTCAAAATAGAAAAAAATGCTGCTGCTGCTGCTGCCACTGCCAATAATCCAGTAATAATAATAATAATAATTATTATTATTATTATTATTATTATTATTATTATTATCAATATCATTATGAGTACAGCCGCTCCTCACTTAGAGATGTACTCGTTTACTGACAATTCGGACTTACGTTGGGCTCTCTGACCAGTATACATATCTAAATAATGTATATTAGAGCTGATTTCCTCTATTCCGTTTATTACAATACAGTGGACCCCCGGTTAACAATATTTTTTCATTCCAGAAGTATGTTCAGGTGCCAGTACTGACCGAATTTGTTCCCATAAGGAATGTTGTGAAGTAGATTAGTCCATTTCAGACCCCCAAACATACACGTACAAACGCACTTACATAAATACACTTACATAATTGGTCGCATTGGGAGGTGATCGTTAAGCGGGGATCCACTGTATACAGTACACTACTGTATAAACATTTAAAATATACCAGAATTGTTATAAATGGTGCAGAGGTAACATTAAAATGAAAACAATATCAAAGATGGCTGACACAAACCCACTATCGTTATAGCATGCTCCTCACTTAGCACTGAATTCGTTTGCCGACAGGGTCTTAGGAACGGAACTCTGTCATTAAGCGAAGAGCTTTATTATTATTGTGTATTATCCTTCCTAGGGATCAAGGCTATGCATACAGTATTTTTTTTTCTGGCTACTATTAACCCATAAACAGTCCAAACGTATATATACATTTTTACCGCTAGTGGCCCAAACATATATATACGTTTTATGTGTCATACATTTAACATTGCCACGATAAGCCTGAGTCGCCTATACATGAGAGAATGGGTGTGAGCACTCACTGTGCAATATTTTAAAATAATTGGGGATGCCTGGGTAACATATGCTCTTTTTTCCTATTAAAAAACAACAATTTTTTTTTTTCTCAAAAAAGTTGGGGCAGTAGAGTAGTGAACGTATATATACGTTTGGACCGTTTACGGGTTAATTATGTAATGAATATCTGACAGCATAATATCAGGGACAATGCTACAAGAGTTGTGTTTTAGTTTCATGTCTAAATGTTTAAAAGTTAAACAATACACTAAAAAATGTTGATTTTTAATAATTTCAAAACTTTTCCAAGATTAGAATGAAATGTTATGATTACAATAACCCAATAACACTGGTACACCTATACAATTTTCAGCAGAATTATTCAATAATTACTATTAAATGCCAAATGCTCATGGTACTGTTCGTCTCTGTATACAGTACATGTACCTTGAAGTGACTTTTTTTTTCATTATTTTTTAACATTTTTTATTTATATTGGGTAAATGGGGGAAAATAGTTACTTCTGTAAAATTTGTACAGGTGTCACTCTCTTTATGCAATAGATACATTCCATAGACATCGCCCAAAGCAGTTCTACTAAGCTCAGAAAAGCCATCAGCACTTCTTTCAACAAAGCACACCAATAATACATCGTGAATTTAATGTCTATCACACTTAACCCATAAACGGTCCAAACTTATACAGTGGTCCCTCGGTAATAGTTGGGCTTGATAGTCGTCCTTTTCAGAAATCGTTGCGTTATTTTAGTCCAAACATTGGCTCGCAAATGGTCAGTTGACTTGCTAATCGTCGTTTGTCCTGGACGTGTACTCACGGCTCTGAGCCGCCTCGGCCTCCCTTCCCAGCCAGTGTGCCATTGTTTACCAGTGAGCGACAGTCCCCTCACGTGTTCATATGAAATATTTCATAATATTCCGTTTGTTTTAGTGCTTGCAAGTGCTAAATAAGCTACCATGGGTCCAAAGAAAGCTCTAAGTGCCAAGCCTTTGGTAAAGAAGGTGAGAAATATGATTGAATTTAAGAAAAACATCATTGAACAATATGAAAGTGGCATACGTGTGGCCGAACTGGCCAGGATGTATAACAAATCCCATACAACCATATCTTCCATCATGGCCAAGAAAAAAAATCAAGGAAGCTGTTGTTGCAAAGGGGGTAAATATGCTGACAAAAATGAGATCACTAGTCTCGAAGAGGTTGAGAAGTTATTGGTGTGGATAAATGAGAAGGAGGAAGGAGGAGGAAGAGAGATGGAAGAAGGTGCCTTCTTCAGAAATTAAGGAGATTTTTGCAATGTGGGGTAGGATGGAAAGATTTATGGAGAAACATCACCCTGAGAAGGATGTTGCAAGCCATATTGGCAGCTTGTACAGTGACAGAGTCTTGGCCCATTTTAGGAAAGTTTTAAAGAGACGCCAGAAACAGAGCTCTTTGGACACTTTTTTTGCGAGACAGGACTCCAGTGACTCTCAAGCAGGTCCTAGTGGCATTAAGAAACAGAGAAGAGAAGTAACCCCAGAAAAGGACTTGGTACCTAAGGTGTTGATGGAAGGAGATTCCCTTTCCAAACAGTAACTAATCCAATCTCTCTCCTCCTCCGGTCTTCCATACACTAAGAAGAATCGCCAATAAAGGTAAGTGTTATGCTCTTAATGTTTCATTCATCATGTCCCATTGTATTGTTTATGTACTACATCTATATTTCATGTAAAAAAAATTTTTGTTTTAATACTTCTGGGTGTCAGGAACGGATTAATTGTATTTACATTATTTCTTATGGGGGAAATTGATTCGAAAATCGGCTTTTTCAATAATCGTCGCACTTCCAGGAATGGATTAACAACGATAAACGAGGGACCACTGTATATACATTCACTACCCCAGTGCCCCGAATATTTTGAAAAATAAAAAAATCTTTTTTTTTTTAATGAAAATAAAGAGCACATTTTTCTAAGTGTTATAGGATAAAAAAAAAAGTTAGGGCCAGTACTTACAGAGATATGAGGCCGAGAAGTTGGCACTGGATGCTCACATAATTACAGTTTATAGTAGTTCTTGTCATTTTATAACCAATCTTTGTTCTAACACTAGTATTAGGTACTGAAATTGTACTCACATTGTAACAAACACAGTGACCAGTGGACATTTACACCTGCCTTGGTCATTTACTATTGTCTTGGAATATATACAAAGTATTTATAGATCCCAGCAATGTTTTGGATATGTGGAAGTATATAATAATAATGAGGAGGAGAAGGAGGAGGAGGAGGAAGAGGAGGAGGAGGAAGAAAAGGAGGAGGAGGAGGAGAAGAAGGAGGAGGAGGAGAAGGAGGAGGAAGAGAGAGAAGGAAGAGGAGGAGGAGGAAGAGGAGAAGGAAGAGGAGGAGGAGGAGGAGAAGGAAGAGGAGGAGGGGAGGAGGAGGTAGGGGAGGAGAAGGAGAAGGGGGAGAAGAATACGTAAAAATAGTAATAGGTAATAATAAGTTCCCTTGAAGCATGAACAACAAAATCCACCCCTGACAATGACATGATAAGATGAGATAACATCTGATAAGAGCTGACATTTGATGAGCATACACAAGGGTGCAGTGATAACACTTGATAAGAAAAGATTAGAAGCATCACCCTCATTTGTTTTCAATGGTACACAAACATGTCTGTCAAGCTCCCTGTCTGTCTGTCTGTCTATCCGTCTAGCTCTCTGTCTCAGAGAGAGCCACAGGACTGGGTCGTCACCTTTACTCATATCTTCAAGCAGAGTATAGCACTTTGTCTGGATTTTTTGGGTTATCCTAGGTAATTTACACTATGTATACTTGTATTTATGTGTACCTGTGAGACAGAGATAGATGGAAAGAGATAGAGATAGACAGGGATACACAGAGGCAGATAGACAAAGATAGAGACAGAGACAGACAGAGATAGACATAGATACAGACAGACAAACGGAGATAGAGCCAGGCCAGCAGCCGCCAGCCACGCAGCTGGCCAGCCAGAATTGTTTCTCTTTACTTAGGGCATAGGTTATAAGACATTCTGAAAGGGTGTTGCACAAATATTGCACATGGGTTATTATCGAGATTTTTTTTATATTTCATCGACATGAAATCAGTAAATTCCAGGTGTTTGCTGTGCTGTTTGCTCTAGCTGGCTCTCATTTGAACTGGTGCTCCCACAAGGTATTAAGTGGTCCCAGATTTTTTCAATAGCGCACACTGACAAGGCATTTCAGGCCAGTCGTGCCAAATTTGAAGGCAGGAAAAATAAAACGTATATATACGTTTGGGGCACTAGCGGTAAAAAACGTATATATACGTTTGGACCGTTTACAGGTTAAAGGATTAACAGTACAAATGGTCATAGCATAATAACAAATTCACTTAAAGCGAACTTGCATTAAGAAAAGGGAACCTACTGGGTATATATACTGTAGAAGATAACTATAACAACTTAAAGGCTGTCATACATTTATGCCTGCAGAATGTACACAGATAAATGTTGTTATGATTATTATTATTATTATAATTACCATATTTTCATTGTTATTATTGCCATAATTATTTGTTATTATATTACAGTATTATTATTATTATTTTTATTGTTGTTATTATTACATACAAATACTGCACTATGCATATACATGTACTGTACTGTATGCTTGACCATTACTCTTTAACAGATTTATGGCAAATTGTATCCTGTTTGCATGAACTTAGTGACTGAGGTAGCAGTGTTTGGTAAAGCAGTGAGTAATGGAAGCAGTGACTCTTGTGGACAGACACCTTCCACAGCGTTAATAGTCTGTGCCTCTGGATCAGTTAAGGCAGCCCACTCAAAACTACCCGGCTTCCTGGTCACCCTTTGTCATGTAGCTCAGCCTGTAGTCTGGACTGGAATTATGGAAGGTATGCAACAATGAAAGCTGGAGATTTGTATTGTATTTTAAACTTGAGGATCTAGACATTTTTAATGTAGAAATGTCTGTTTGGCTGGCATTTGTGCAATAAACACTTTGTTGAAGATGATTAACATGGAAGCAAGGTAAAGACCATTTTATGGATTAGGTTTTTAGGTTACATAAACTTGTGAAAATGTTGAAGAATGAGACACTTGTGCAACATTTGGGAATCTTAATTACAGAAACGTTGCATCAGCGATTAAAGAGAAGAATGGTGGAAGATGAGAAGCTTGAAGTAATCAGTCCCTCAGCCTGGAGTCAATGTGTTCAGTCCATCAATCTTGAAAAAAGTGCAGCGCATGCTCAGAGAAGTGGCTTATTTACAGTAGCAGGTGAGTTAAAGCAGTAAGAGGCAGTGTCAACCAGTGGAAAAATCTGCTAGTGTAAACAGGTAATGCCTATAGGTTAGGCAAGAGTTGAAGAATTCCCTGCATCAGGATCCCAAGATGTTGCTGTGTCTGACAGATATGATGTTAATGGGCTAAACACATCAGCTCCAGGCTAAGGGAATGATTACCTCAAACTCCTCCTCATCTTCCACTGTTCTTCTCTGTAATGGACTGAAGAAGCCACTGGCCAGCAAAAAGTTTCTGCAATAAAGATTCCCAAATGTTGCACAAGTGTCTCATTCTTCAACCTGTCAGTTTTCTAAACCATTTACATCATATCTGTCAGACACAGCAACATCTTGGGATCCTGATGCAGGGATTCTTCAGCTCTTGCCTAACTTATAGGCATGACCTATTTACACTAGTGATTTTTCCACTGGCTGACTCTGCCTCCTGCTGCTTCAACTTGCTTATCTACAGTATATAAGCCACTCACTGCACATATGTTGTATGTACTTTTCTCAAGATTGATGGACTGAACACATTGACTCCAGTCCAGGCAGAGGGACTGATTACCAAAAACTCGTACTCAGCTTCCACTGTTCTTCTCTGTAATGGAATGAAGAAGCCACTGGCTGGCAAAATGTTTCCGTAATAAAGATTCCCAGGTGTTGCAGTTATCTCATTCTTCAACTTATTGGTTTTCTAAACCATTTGCATCATATCTTTGAAAATGTATATTTGACCACATATAAGGAAACTGAAATGAAATGAATGCAACATGCCTAGCAATGTGATTCAGTATCTATTTATGTTTGGGCAGCTGGCTGGCTGTCTGTGAAGTGGCCTTAGCCTATTAACCAACTATGTACTGCACAGTTTCTGCATACACCACACACACACACACACACATCTCTTAATAACATGTAACTCACCTGTAGCTTGCAGGTCAAGATGTATGAATGTCTCATTACACCTGTCAGTGACCCTGGCTGAGGAGACTAGTCTAACATCAGCAGTTCAGCATCCACTGCATGAAGTTCTAAAGACAGCAACTTGTTGATAGGTCAGATGGTCTCATTGCCATTTATATTAATCTTCACCATCTTAAGTCATCCTGCTTTATCTTGGTGAATTGAAAATACTGGAGTAAGAAGTCACTTAGCCCTTTCTTTCTTTCTTTCAACACACCGGCCGTATCCCACCGAGGCGGGGTGGCCCAAAAGGAAAAACGAAAGTTTCTCCTTTTACATTTAGTAATATATACAGGAGAAGAGGTTACTAGCCCCTTGCTCCCGGCATTTTAGTTGCCTCTTACAACACGCATGGCTTACGGAGGAAGAATTCTGTTCCACTTCCCCATGGAGATAAGAGGAAATAAACAAGAATAAGAACTAGAAAGAAAATAGAAGAAAACCCAGAGGGGTGTGTATATATGTGCTTGTACATGTATGTGTAGTGTGACCTAAGTGTAAGTAGAAGTAGCAAGACGTACCTGAAATCTTGCATGTTCATGAGACAGAAAAAAGGACACCAGCAATCCTACCATCATGTAAAACAATTACAGGCTTTCGTTTTACACTCACTTGGCAGGACGGTAGTACCTCCCTGGGCGGTTGCTGTCTACCAACCTACTACCTATTCACTTAGCCCTAGACACACAAAAAAAAGGGACACAGGTACAGTATAATGCAATCCTTCATTGATGGCAATTTGCCCCCACACTGGCTTTATCAAGTTGCAAACTGATAAATTTGAGGAGAAAGAATGACCCTATATGTAGGGAGCATTGTGACATGAAGAGCCAGGTTACGTATATTAAAACTAAAACCTTGGGTAGCTTTAAAAACAGGTTGGAGAAATACATGATTGGAAAGTGTGTCATTGGGCATACTGCAGTACTTCTTCACATTTGTATATATTATGAATACCATGTGGGGAAACCACTCTGGAAATTTCCTGGCAAGATATCTATTTCCCACTTAATAACATAATATACAAGTATGAAGGAGCTCTGCAGTAGGTGCATTGCCCCACTTCTAAGTCATATATTTGTCTAAAAGCTACCCATGGTTTTAGCTTCAAGCTTCAGCATACCTAACCTGACTCTTCACGTCTCTATGCTCCCTATATATAAAATCATCCCTTTTCTCCAAGTTTATCCATTGGTGACCTAATAAAGGTAACTGTGTTGGCAAAACATAATCAATAAAGGTTCACATTATACTGCATCTGTGTCTCTGTTTCCATTGTGTTAATATTTTATACCATTTGTATCCATCACTGCCCTAGATGTTTCACTTTCCATTAATGTGGGATCCCCTGAGCTCAATGTCAGCTTATTACCCTACAGATTAACACCCTTGAGGATCACAAGTAATCATCAGGCCGTGCAAGATTCCACCTCTAACATCATCAATATATTTTTTTTTTTTTTTAACAAACCGGCCATATCCCACTGAGGCAAGTCACCTAAAAAGAAAAACGAAAGTTTCTCTTTTTAAATTTAGTAATGTATACAGAAGGGGTTACTAGCCCCCTCACTCCTGGCATTTCAGTTGCCTATTGTGACATAGCTTACGGAGGAAGAATTCGGTTCCACTTTCCCATGGAGACAAGAGGAAATAAACAGGAGGGGTGTTAATGTTGCAGTTTAAAAACTGTAGTGTAAAGCACCCTTCTGGCAAGACAGTGATGGAGTGAGTGATGGTGAAAGTTTTTCTTTTTTGGGCCACCCTGCCTTGGTGGGAATCGGCCAGTGTGTTAATATAAAAAAAAAAAAAAGAACTAGTAAGAAAATAGAAGAAAACCCAGAGGGGTGTACAGTGGACCCCCGGTTAACGATATTTTTTCACTCCAGAAGTATGTTCAGGTGCCAGTACTGACCGAATTTGTTCCCATAAGGAATATTGTGAAGTAGATTAGTCCATTTCAGACCCCCAAACATACACGTACAAACGTACTTACATAAATACACTTACATAATTGCTCGCATTCGGAGGTGATCGTTATGTGGGGGTCCACTGTATATATATATATTTTTTTTTTTCAACAAACCGGCCGTATCCCACCAAGGCAGGGTGGCCCAAAAAGAAAAATGAAAGTTTCTCTTTTTAAATTTTGTAATTTATACAAGAGAAGGGGTTACTAGCCCCTTGCTCCTGGCATTTTAGTCGCCTCTTACAACATACATAGCTTACGAAGGAAAAATTCTGTTCTACTTCTCCATGGAGATAAGTGGAAATAAACAAGAACAAGAACTAGTAAGAAAATAGAAGAAAACCCAGAGGGGTGTGTATATATATGCTTGTACATGTATGTGTAGTGTGGCCTAAGTGTAAGTAGAAGTTTATGAGACAGAAAGAAGACACCAGCAATCTTACCAGTATGTAAAACAATTCAATTACAGGCTTCCGTTTTACATTTGCTTGGCAGGACAGTAGTCCCTCCCTGGGCTTTGCTGTCTACTAACTTTATAGGAAGTTTTTAAAATATCCACGAAATTCCGACTATCATTGGGTATGATAGTCAGGGTCTTCAGATGGCCTCTGAACATTGAAGGGCTTAACCCTTTTTAAAAATAAAATTTGGAAATTAGAGCTTCAGTATCATCTTAATCTTCTGTACTTGGTGAAGCTTAATTTTTATTTGTCCCTTGATTTACCTAAAACAGTCCACACTTCTACAGTTTTCATTTTCTTTCCAGCACACCTCTGGAAACAAAACCAAAACTGTTCTCCCCCATTTGCTCATTGAGACTACCCTGAAAAAGTGTTTTGGCAAACATTCAACAGTTCCCAAGGTAATTGTGCATCTCTTCAAGAAAGTTTAAAAGGGGTGGTCATTTGGTAGGCTGGGCTTTAAAAATTTATTGAAGTTGATGTATAAAAAAATTTTGATCGGGAATTTTTTTTTTTAAAGTCCCGGGCCACCTTTCACGGGCAGGGAAACCCAGAAAAGGGAAAACCATTCCCATAACTACCCAAATAGCTGTCTTCCCAAAAGTGCACGACATCACAATTCATATGATCTTCCAAAGGAAACCATATCCACCCTTCTTCAAATGCAAAAATATACCTTTTCCCTCCGTTTTAAGTTGGAAATGGGTTTTCCCCTTCATTTGTTACCTTGTAAGCGTTTTTAAAACATGAGAACCATAAAACCCACTCATCTTATTTGATCTAACACTGCTCACAACACACACACATGGGATGTTCAGAAGGTTTATATAGGGGGGGCTTGCATGACAATCGGGTTTGGGGAAGGGGGGGTCTAGGGATTTTTTTGAAGCGAAATTTTTTTATTAATGTTATTTTTTTTTTTTTTAACCCAGCGGCCGTCTCCCACCGAGGTAGGGTGACTCAAAAAAAAGAAACCCCCCAAAAAAAAAATTTTTTCTATCATTAACATTTTACCTCACCCCATACATAATCACTGTTTTTGCAGAGGTGCTCAAAATACACAGTTTAGAAGCATTTTTACTTAAAAAGATACACAACATATCCCCCCCCAAAAGCCGTATCCCAAACCTTCCCTGTAAAAGTGCAGGCATTGTATTTCCCGTTTCCCGGTAAAGTTTGGCTATTTAAAAATAATGGTTTCCTGAATCCCTTTCAAA